ATTATTGTAATTCTGAGAGTACTATATTAGAAAGAGAGAGCCTTTTTACAGAAGTTCACATTGTTTTCAAAGATTCCAATTGTTAAACTGAGACATTTGGCCATCATCTTCATTGGTTACATCTTCCTCTCTAAAAATATTGAAACATAGAACACATATGATAGAGTAATGTATGTGTGTGTACAGGTACACATTATAGCTCCTCGCACTCAAAACAAAACAAAGTATCGAACATGGCTACAGTTTTAGGCACAAATACTTAAGTGTCCTTTTGTGAAAATGTCAACGCTTCCGTTGCACACAAATAACGTCTAGACAGACAATGAACAAAACATAATCTCACAGTACATTTAACGTCATAATTATTTTTTTAGAATAGTATCTTTTTAAGTATTTGTGAGAGTGCATGCTTTTTATGATACATTTTTTGGGTGGACTCTGTATTGGTAGAATGTTGACACACGTTGTCTGTACTGAAGTACTGTTAATCTTTTTAAGTGCTTCTCTAAGGGCTTACATACTCTGAGCCGACTGATGGAGCATGTTTGGCGCCATGAAGATTGTGACTCTAAAACCATGAGAGGGTGGTCGTCTGTGAGGAACATATCATACTAATTACTCACATGGTCACTATACACAATACATAGGGGTCTCTAACAAACGTACACACAAATTCATAAGCACGTCAAATAGACTACGACCTCACAGGGTAATCTGTGTTAGAATGACTGACCTCAAATGAATTGACTCAAAGTTGAGTCACATTTCTGGACCCCCCAGGATACTAAATAAATAAGCTTAAACATTTTATTGATGTTGATATTGTTACAGTTTACTAATGATGGATTCAGACACACAAGAGACAGAAACCTTAATGCAACCCGTGTTGCTCTCGCTCTAATTCACACACTGTGATTGTTTTTAAAAATGGGCCCAAACCGCTTGAACTTACAACATGACCTATTCAAAGAGAGAGAGAAGAATCTGGAAAGGTCATGCCAGTCTTCTTCAACATTATCCGTGACTGGAAAGTTCACGCGCCTGGACTGCAAACCTACAGCAGATGGGCATATTGCAGAAAAAGACAATGTATACATTTTCTGTCGGAAGGAAAAACGTTTCTTTCCATTGAGATGAATGGGATTTAAAATAGGCAGTCTGCCTGCCACACTGGACGATCACATTATTTGAATACATGATATGAAAGGTGAGTCAATGAAAGTAAATATGAAAAATAAATTAAAAAAAAAGCAGAAAGACACAGACTAAAACATCCAAACATTTAACACATTTTGTTTGGATGTCATTCCATTTACCTCCGAATGACATAAAAAATTAATTTAAAAAATAAAAATCAGAAGGTGGCAAAACTAACTAAAACGTTTGGTGTCACGATATGATAGATTCAACAATGATTCATATTTACAGTAATTCTAAAGTGTCACATTGTGTATGGGTAATCAAACATATAATAACTCTTAATTGCTGTAAGGAATGGGTAGATTTACTCACCCAGCACACTCATAGTAAGATATTAGGACTTTCACATACACTGTAAAAGGGTATTACTGTATTGTGTAGCATACGACTGAAATGAAATATCTCTAGAAATAATACTGTTCCAAAGTAGATGAAACATACAGGGGAGACATGTTTGAAGTGTACAATAACAGGTGTTAAGGAGTCCCTACTATAAATGTGTTGAAAAGTGTTGAAACCTCAGTGTTAAACGTGTTGAAAAGTGTTGAAAGCTCAGAGTGTTAAACGTGTTGAAAAGTGTTGAAACCTCAGTGTTAAACGTGTTGAAAAGTGTTGAAAGCCAGTGTTAACGGTTGAAAGTTGAACTCAGAGTGTTAAACGTGTTGAAAAGTGTTGAAAGCTCAGAGTGTTAAACGTGTTGAAAAGTGTTGAAACCTCAGTGTTAAACGTGTTGAAAAGTGTTGAAACCTCAGTGTTAAACGTGTTGAAAAGTGTTGAAAGCTCAGAGTGTTAAACGTGTTGAAAAGTGTTGAAACCTCAGTGTTAAACGTGTTGAAAAGTGTTGAAAGCTCAGAGTGTTAAACGTGTTGAAAAGTGTTGAAACCTCAGTGTTAAACGTGTTGAAAAGTGTTGAAAGCTCAGAGTGTTAAACGTGTTGAAAAGTGTTGAAACCTCAGTGTTAAAAAAATATTTAATCTCTCATTCACTTCTCTTTTGCTCTTTTTAGATGTTTTAAATAAATAAATAAGGAGACAGGTATATAAATGCAGACAAATGAAGATTCTCAGTTTGACAGGCATTTCTCAGTGTCAAGTAGTGCTAGCTATTGCATTAAGGTTTTCTTATCTCTAATGAATATATGCATTGTTGTCACTTATGAACTTTTTTTTCCGCATATAGATGATGATGATGAAGATGAAGATATCAAGGTTCCTGAAAGAAGTAAGACATTGTTATGATTGAGAATGCACCACACAGTATCTGTAAATACTAGATCTACAAAAACTATTTACAACACACATATAGATAATCTTTATATCACAGTCTATTGCATAATGGTGATAATCTTTAGTTTATAAATATTATAAATGTACACGTAGTTTTGTTAAGCAACATTACATAACGTCTATCACTGTCTGAAATTAGGACTGAAAACAGCATCATCCATCCCTCGTCCATCCTTCTCTGCAACAAAACAGAAAAGCAGCAATTCTATTTATTTAATTCCCTTTGGACCCATAACACTGTCATGGTGTTCACCAACCAACTGTGTGAGGACATTGTGGCTCAAGAGGATGTATTGCTGAGAGCAATGGAACACCTAGCTATTGTACCTGTGTTTGATTGCTGAGATAAAGGGTCCCACAAATTCTGTCATCAGATTTAGGTTTGAGTGTGTGCATTCTTGACAGTTTCAAGGTTAGCTTGCGTCAGCTATTCCACAGTGGTGACTGGTGACAAAGCTGCGTAATGTGAGAAGATATTTTACTTCCTCTTCTCGCAGGTACAAAAAAAAAAATATCCAAAAGTCATTTGTCAGAATTCATCACAATGCATTTCAGTTTACAAAAACTGAAAAGAACAAACAGACAACCCCCCCACCGTCCCAACCCCCCCTACCCCGACCCCCCCCCCCCCCCCCCCCCCCCCCCCCCCAAAAAAATAATTCTCCATACATTTGATATATATTTTTATATTTTTCGGAAAGGAAGACTCATGTTTATATACTAGAGCTTTTAAATAGTCTTTGCCAAATATTCTAGATGGATTTACACATATATATATATACAGTACCAATCAAAAGTTTGGACACACCTACTCATTCAAGGGTTTTTATTTATTTTTACTATTTTCTACATTGTAGAATAATAGTGAAGACATCAAAACTATGAAATAACACATATGGAATCATGTAGAAACCAAAAAAGTGTTAAACAAATCAAAATATATTTTATATTTGAGATTCTTCAAAGTAGCCACCCTTTGCCTTGATGACTGCTTTGCACACTCTTGGCATTCTCTCAACCAGCTTCATGAGGTAGTCACCTGGAATGCATTTCAAGTAACAGGTGTGCCTTGTTAAAAGTACATTTGTGGAATTTCCTTCCTTCTTCATGCATTTTGAGCCAATCAGTTGTGTTGTAACAAGCTAGGGGTGGTATATTATGTCAAGAACAGCTCAAATAAGCAAAGAGAAACGACAGTCCATCATTACTTTAAGACATGAAGGTCAGTCAATACGGAACATTTCAAGAACTTTGAAAGTTTCTTCAAGTGTAGTCGCAAAAGCCATCAAGCGCTATGATGAAACTGGCTCTCATGAGGACCGCCACAGGAAAGGAAGACCCAGAGTTACCGCTGCTGCAGAGGATAAGTTCATTAGAGTTACCAGCCTCAGAAATTGCAGCCCAAATAAATGCTTCACATCTCACCATCAACTGTTCAGAGGAGACTCCGTGAATCAGGCCTTCATGGTCAAATTGCTGCAAAGAAACCACTACTAAAGGACACCAATAAGAAGAAGAGACTTGCTTGGGCCAACAAACACGAGCAATGGACATTAGAGCGGTGGAAATATGTCCTTTGGTCTGATGAGTCCAAATTGAAGATTTTTGGTTCCAGCCGCTGTGTCTTTGTGAGACGCAGAGTAGGTGAACGGATGATCTCCGCATGTGTGGTTCCCACCGTGAAGCATGGAGGAGGTGGTGTGATGGTGTGGGGGTGCTTTGCTGGTGACACTGTCAGTGATTTATTTAGAATTCAAGGTACACTTAACCAGCACGGCTTCCACAGCATTTTGCAGCAATACGCCATCCCATCTGCTTTGCGCTTAGTGGGACTATCATTTGTTTTTCAACAGGACACCTCCAGGCTGTGTAAGGGCTATTTGACCAAGAAGGAGAGTGATGGAGTGCTGCATCAGATGACTTGTCCTCCACAATCACCTGACCTCAACCCAATTGAGATGGTTTGGGATGAGTTGGACTGCAGAGTAAAGGAAAAGCAGCCAACAAGTGCTCAGCATATGTGGGAACTCCTTCAAGACTGTTGGGAAAGCATTCCAGGTGAAGCTGGTTGAGAGAATGCCAAGAGTGTGCAAAGCTGTCATCAAGGCAATGGGTGGTACTTTAAAAAACTCAAATATAAAATATATTTTGATTTGTTTAACACATTTTTGGTTATACATGATTCCACATGTGTTATTTCATAGTTTTGATGTCTTCACTATTATTCTACAATGTAGAAAATAGTACAAATAAAGAAAAACCCTTGAATGAGTAGGTGTGCCCAAACTTTTGACTGGTACTGTATATATATTTATTTAATATACATTCTTAAATTTAGGGAGAAAATGTGTCTAAAATATAATACAAGGGCAGTCTGTACAGGAATTCCTTGAGGCAAATTTTTTTTCAGAATAACATTTTGAGAAAACAAAAAAATACTCAAGTTCATCTTTATCTTTTTTGTATCTCCATTAAAAATGAAATAAAACAGAAGTTTAAAAAAGTAAAATGGGATCATAAATTTGATGCGAACCGCATCTTATCTTGCTCGGTCTCTGTACTGCTTAAGGTAGAATCTCTTCTAGAATCTTTCCTAGAGCCCGTGGAATCCCTGTGCTGGGCTGCAGAGGACGCTGCTCGCACCGGAGGCAACGCTCCCGATGACATCTGGCGGAACAGGTTGACCCTCTGGGGCACTGTGGTGCGGAGACCGCTCTGTATACCCATCCCCTGGACCGCAGCCACCGGCGGGGCAATGGAGACCAGGGTGTCCCCAGACGCTGCAGGGTGCGCTCGGGGGCCCAGGGATGTGTCATGCGGCAGGGAGGGCTGGGAGGCAGAGAGGTGGCGCACGTCTCGACTCAGGCTTCCCGACTGGAGAGCATGGCTGGCCTTGTGGAGGCTGTCACTCCTCTGAGGTGACGGGACTTGCTGCTGCTGCTGCTGTTGTTGTGGTTGTTGTTGTTGTTGTTGTTGTTGTTGTTGTTGTTGTTGTTGTGTCACTGAGGAGGCCGCAGCTCCTCCTGGTTGCTGTGGTAGTGGTAGTGGTTGCTGTGGTGGTAGGGCTGTAGGCGGCAGCTGCTGGATAAGGGAGAGCTGGGAGGCGGTGGGTGAGCCGTACTGGAAGCTGCGGCCTGCCAGCCCAGGGGTCTGCACGGGTGGACTGCACACAGCCGCGGCGAAGGACACCGGGGACATAATGGCCCCTTGCTGCTGGAGAGAGAGGGGAGTCTGGGGGACGGGCGAGGACGAGTTCAGGTTGCCGTGGATGATGCTGGGGACGGGATAGACACCCTGAGCCGAGGCTGGCAGGATGCGGGCGGCGGCTGCGGCAGAGGGGGCGATGACGGCTGAAGCGCTGTAGGTCAAAGGGGTGGCTGACTGCTGGAACTGGTTGTTGCCCAGGGCAGTGGTGTAGGGCGGCTGAGCCGGCGAGTTAATGATGGAGTTTCCAGACATCGGGGTGGTGTTCATCCCTGTGACCGACATCCCTGTGACTGACATCCCTGTGACCGACTGCTTGCGGTCCACCATCATCACCATCTCCCTGTCCTGACGGATGATCTGCTTCAATATCTCGTTCTCCTGCGTGTTGAACACCCCAGCGTTCAGATCCTTCTGGAACTTCTGGAGGAGCAGGCTGTTCTTCTTCCCTGTTAGGAGTAGATCATTTAGAGGTTAGGTTGACTTAAGCCGTGATAGACATGGTAGCATATTAACACACCGTAGACATGGAAGCATATTAACACACCACAGGTTGGATGTTATGGTGTGGGTTGTTATGAGGTGTGAGTAACAGTGAGTAGAAATGGGAGTGACTATGGTGTACACTACCAGTCAAATGTTTGGACACACCTACTCATTCAATGGTTTTTCTTTATTTATTTCAATTTTTTACATTGTAGAATAATAGTGAAGACATCAAAACTATGAAATAACACATATGGAATCATCTAGTAACCAAAAAAGTGTTAACCTATTCAAAATATATTTTAGATTTGAGAGTGTGCAAAGCTGTCATCAAGGCAAAGGGTGGCTATTTGAAGAATCTCAAATATAAAATATATTTTGATTTGTTTAACACTTTTTTGGTTACTACATGATTCCATATGTGTTATTTCATAGTTTTGATGTCTTCACTATTATTCTACAATGTAGAAAATAGTAAAAATAAAGAAAAACCCTTGAATGAGTAGGTGTGTCCAAACTTTTGACTGGTACTGTAAGTATGAGGACGTCTGAATGAGAGTGCTGTATTACCAAACTACTGTACATATTTGATACCTAGTACATGGAGTGATAAAATACTAAGAGGTAGCAGGTGAAAGGTAATATATGAATATAGAGATTAGTATTAAGATTTAATATATACACTCCCCTACGTAGTTAGTTGGACAGTGAAGCTAAAACTTTTCATTTGGTTCTATACTCCAGCAGTTTGGATTTGAGATCAAATGTTTCATATGAGGCGACAGTACAGAATGTAATCTTTAATAATTTGAGGGTATGTTCATACATATCTGTTTTACCGTTTAGAAATGAAAGCCCTTTATGTATCTAGTCCCCCTATTTTAGTATTTAATATTTGGTCCCATATTCCTTGCACGCAATGACTACATCATTGCTTGTGACTACAAACTTGTTGGATGCATTTCGAGAGCTCGGGACTATAAGGTTCTATCTTCATGTTTGACAAAATTAAGTTATTGACATAGCCTGGTTCTGTTCAATGGTCTCTACCTATAAACTACCTTAAATACCCCAAATTCATGTTGTTAAGTTCAAAAGAATACAATATAAAAAATTGCTGACACCATTCAATGCAATGAGGGTTCGGAACTTTAAAGCCAATTATCTCAGAATCATCTTTTTGCAGATAGCACCTTCTAGTCCCAAGCTCTCGATTTGCAGTGTGTTTCGGATTATTTTGTGGAAATATAAATGAATGGTAAATAACGTATTGTGTCATTTTGGAGTCACTTTTATTGTAAATAAGAATAGAATACTGTATGTTTATGAACACTTCTACATTAATGTGGATAATACCATGATTCCGAATAATCATGAATGAATCGTGAATAAGGATGAGTAAGAATGTTACAGAGGGTCAAAGATCATTAAAAAACCTCTCACCAGTACCAATAACAGGGCATGATCTTTGTGCATCTGTATGTATGCATGTATGTGTGTATGTACAGTGCATTTGGAAAGTATTCAGACCCCTTGACTTTTTCCAAATATTGTTACGTTACAGCCTTATTCTAAAATTGATTAAATTGTTTTTTTCTCTCTCATCAATCTACACACAATACCCCGTAATGACAAAGAAAAAACAGGTTTTTTGATTTTTTTTTACAAATGTATTATAAAAACAACCCGGATATATCACATTTACATAAGTATTCAGACCCTTTACTCAGTACTTTGTTGAAGCACTTTTGGCAGCGATTACAGCCTTGAGTCTTCTTGGGTATGACACTACAAGCTTGGCACACCTGTAATTGGGGAGTTTCTCCCATTCTTCTCTGCAGGTCCTCTCAAGCTCTGTCAGGTTGGATTAGGAGCATCGCTGCACAGCTATTTTCAGGTCTCTCCAGAGATGGTCGATCGGGTTCAAGTCCGGGCTCTGGCTGAGACACTCAAGGACATTCAGAGACTTGTCCTGAAGCCACTCCTGCGTTGTCTTGGCTGTGTGCTTAGGGTCATTGTCCTGTTGGAAGGTCAACCTTCGCCCCAGTCTGAGGTCCTGAGCGCTCTGGAGCAGGTTTTCATCAAGGATCTCTCTGTACTTTGCTCCGTTCATCTTTCCCTCGATCCTGACTAGTCTCCCAGTCCCTGCAGCTGAAAAACATCCCCACAGCATGATGCTGCCACCACCATGCTTCACCGTAGGGATTGGTGCCAGGTTTCCTGCAGACGTGACGTTTGGCATTCAGGCCAAATAGTTAATTATTGGTTTTATCAGACCAGAGAATCTTGTTTCTCATGGTCTGAGAGTCCTTTAGGTGCCTTTTAGCAAACTCCAAGCGGGCTGTCATGTGCCTTTTACTGAGGAGTGGCTTCCATCTGGCCACTGTACCATAATGGCCTGATTGGTGGAGTGCTACAGAGATGGTTGTCCTTCTGGAAGGTTCTCCCATCTCCACAGAGGAACTCTGTCAGTGTGACCATCGGATTCTTGGTCACCTCCCTGACCAAGGCCCTTCTCCCCCAATTGCTCAGTTTGGCCGGGCGGCCAGCTCTAGGAAGAGTCTTGGTGGTTCCAAACTTCTTATTTTGCTCTGACATGCACTGTCAACTGTGGGACCTTATATAGACAGTTGTGTGCCTTTCCAAATCATGTCCAATCAATTGAATTTACCACAGGTGGACTCCAATCAAGTTGAAGAAACATCTCAAGGATGATCAATGGAAACAGGATGCACCTGAGCTCAATTTCAAGTCTCACAGCAAAGAGTATTTCAGTTTTTTCTAAAAACCAGTTTTCGCTATGTCATGTGTAGATTGATTTAGAATAAAACTGTAATGTAGCAAAATGTGGAAAAAGTCAAGGGGTTCTGAATACTTTCGGAATGCACTGTATTTATGTATGTATGTATGTATGAAAATACCCTCAAATAAAAGGTGACATTCTGTACTGTTGCCTCATATGAAACATTTGATCTCAAATACAAAATGCTGGAGTATAGAGCCAAATTAAAAGTTTCAGCTTCTCTGTCCAAATAAATATGTGTACCTACCCAATATATATTTTTATTAGTTTCTAATCATTTTCACAAATACACCATAGGAATCGACATACAATATAATTATAAAACACATTCAGTTTACGCCTTACTAAAGTTGGCTATTCATTCAGTAGGACTACAGTTGACTATACACTACACAATACACACTGGAAGGATTCAACCACCACTATTAAAAATATTTCAACAGTCCTAAAAACTATAGGTCCCCACTACTAAACCATATTTATTTAATGACAGTTTAGTTTAGTGACATGAAGTTCCTACAATAAAAAGAAAATTGCAACTCAAAGATTTTTTTAAAAATCAAACAAAAGCTTTTTTTATGTTTGACAAATTCATTCCTTTAGTAAGTTAATTTTAAAAGAACGGAATAGCTCTACCTCTCCTGCCTGCTGGCTATGAATGACGAGAGATGTCAAGATTTACTTCAAGGATGTATTTCTTTTGAATTGTTGACCTTTTCCTCGCGATTGCAAAGAAACTTTCTAGGTTAGTAAGGATGACAGAATAAGGTTCTGGAACTGCTGGCAGCTTTAACCAAGGCTCATCAATCTTTGGGCTGAGGCCTTCGAAACAGAGACGTTTTCTTCCTCGGTGTACTGCCTAATGGTGCTAAGGCCATACAGCCTTCACTATTCAAGGATGCAGACATTTTATACAGGCAGGAATGTCTATAACACTGGACTTTTATTATTATGAGTCTCTTAGCTGATAGAGAGCACACCCTAAAGCACCTATCTGCAGGTTAAGCAGATGTATAGTGGTGACATAGTACCTGGTTAAGCAGATGTATAGTGGTGACATAGTACCTGGTTAAGCAGATGTATAGTGGTGACATAGTACCTGGTTAAGCAGATGTATAGTGGTGACATAGTACCTGGTTAAGCAGATGTATAGTGGTGACATAGTACCTGGTTAAGCAGATGTATAGTGGTGACATAGTACCTGGTTAAGCAGATGTATAGTGGTGACATAGTACCTGGTTAAGCAGATGTATAGTGGTGACATAGTACCTGGTTAAGCAGATGTATAGTGGTGACATAGTACCTGGTTAAGCAGATGTATAGTGGCGACATAGTACCATGTTAAGCAGATGTATAGTGGTGACATAGTACCTGGTTAAGTAGATGTATAGTGGTGACATAGTACCTGGTTAAGCAGATGTATAGTGGCGACATAGTACCATGTTAAGCAGATGTATAGTGGCGACAAAGTACCTGGTTAAGTAGATGTATAGTGGCGACATAGTACCTGGTTAAGTAGATGTATAGTGGTGACATAGTACCATGTTAAGCAGATGTATAGTGGCGACATAGCACCTGGTTAAGTAGATGTATAGTGGCGACATAGCACCTGGTTAAGTAGATGTATAGTGGTGACATAGTACCATGTTAAGTAGATGTATAGTGGTGACATAGTACCTGGTTAAGCAGATGTATAGTGGCGACAAAGTACCTGGTTAAGCAGATGTATAGTGGCGACATATTACCATGTTAAGCAGATGTATAGTGGTGACATAGTACCTGGTTAAGTAGATGTATAGTGGCGACAAAGTACCTGGTTAAGTAGATGTATAGTGGCGACATAGTACCTGGTTAAGTAGATGTATAGTGGTGACATAGTACCATGTTAAGTAGATGTATAGTGGCGACATAGCACCTGGTTAAGTAGATGTATAGTGGCGACATAGCACCTGGTTAAGTAGATGTATAGTGGTGACATAGTACCATGTTAAGTAGATGTATAGTGGTGACATAGTACCTGGTTAAGCAGATGTATAGTGGCGACAAAGTACCTGGTTAAGTAGATGTATAGTGGCGACATAGTACCTGGTTAAGTAGATGTATAGTGGTGACATAGTACCATGTTAAGCAGATGTATAGTGGCGACATAGCACCTGGTTAAGTAGATGTATAGTGGCGACAGAGTACAGTAACTTTTCAAGGCAGCTATTCCGAAAATAAAAATGTTGCTTTAAAATACAGTAATACACGTATTGAAAATTAAAGGCAGATTCTAACAGTTTTCCCTTTTTCAGGGAAAATGTTGACTAAATACTATTTTTTGGTATTCCATTTAATGTACTTGAAGCCTTTTTGAACTGTTATCCTTTACAAAATACAGTGTTAGTGGCATTGGCATCACGACCATATTCTGTATAGCCTCTCTGTTGACGTATGGTCAGCTGTACAGATGGCCGGGTCAACGGCAGGGCAAAGGAAAATTGTTGTGGCAGGCAGACACATCCATAAGGACAGGATGTTAACATCCGTAGCTTTGTGTGAAAGAGAAGAAAGAGTCAAGGGGATTCCTTCGTAAACTAGCGTTGGCTAGACATGTCCTGTCAAATCCATCCCTAGGGCTGCGTCCCAAATAGGACCCTATTGCATTTATAGTGCACTTACCATAGGTCTCTGGTCAAACGTTTAGAAGGAATAAGGCACCATTTTGGGACATAACCTAAGTCTCTGCTATGCCACACATTCTGCCTCACCAGCCAGCACAAAGCAATAACCGCCAGGGCCAGTTTTTCTATTTTTGCACTGTCGCTAGAGCACTGGGATGTGCATTGGCGGGTGGATCAGGTGTGATTGATTCTATCCTTAGACTGGGTAAGCTTTGTGTGAGAGACGACGAGTCCCTTATCAGTCATTCCAAGGAAGCCAATCAGTCATTGGCTTGGCTGTGATTCCCTTCGATGTGGACCCATGACAGCGCTGAACACTAGGGAAGTGGCTAGATGCTAACGCTAACACCAGACACTGACTTGCAGGGTTACCATAGACTTACATGACATCAGCATACATTGGTGAACAGAACGCTTCACGATTAAACTCTGGATGGAGAGGAGCATAACACAGACATGTTATTGTGGAAACACGAGGTCATGGGATGGAGGAGTGGCCTTGTAGGTCAGGTACAGTACAGTCAAATCTCACACAGCTCAGTAATGCTTTGACTCTGATCAAATGGCAGCTGAGGTCTGTGGAGATCGTGGCATTAAAAACTCATTGGTGCATAATATAGTTATATTATGCAGTAAGACAAATACGTATAACCACTACCATTATACTAAGGGAATTAGACATGGAAATGACTAGAAACTTAGACTGCACTGACAGTAGAGGGATACAATAAAGACTTTGAGCCACAAGAACACACTTGTTTTGCAATGGTTTCCTATTCTTGAGTTTATAATTATAGGTCATCAGGTGGGTTTAAACATGTAGATTTAGATCTAATGTTTACACACTGCTTACACTTTAACTTTGGATACCCATATTTGTGTTACATTTTATTTTTCTCAACATACTTGGTGTCCTTTTAGATGTAACTGCCCAGTTAATATTGAAATGAATAGGTGTTGTTTAAAGATGACCCTTCATTGTCTGTATACATGAAACATACTGAAATGTCCTGAATCAAACTGAAATGTGGCTATTTCAGTGGTTATTTCACAAAGCATGTTGTATTGTGCTGTGTTGAACTAATGGATATGGTGATAAACTGGTTGAATTAACGTTGTTTCCACTTCATTTCAACAACAACAACCAAAATGTGATGACGTTGAATCAACGTGGTATACTGATTGGATTTGCAAAAAGTCACAAACATAAGGGAATTTCATATTTTTTTTCACCCAACTTAAATCCAATGACATGGTGCATTTCTGTTGTTGATTTTACGTTAAATTCACATTAGTTGACAACTCAACCAAATGTCAATCAAAAGTAGATGTTAAAATGACATCTGTGCCCAGTAGGAACTGTCAATCATGTATGTGAGGGAGGGCCCAAGGGGAAATGAACACCACACCAATTAAGAAATACATTTTTTTTAAATAAACTGAAACAAAAGGTGGTTAACAGAATGAACAGCAATAAGGAACAGCAATAAGGACAATACAAAACATTGATACTGGTTATAACCAACAAAAGAAACAAACAAACAATGATCTTGTTATCTCTGTCTGGTGTCAAACTTTTAACTACTTTTGAATATAAAAAATAAAACCCAGAACCATTTGCTGGTAGCTGATATCATGAATAACAAACCTTTGTATATTCAATAAGATAAGAAACATTCCTGTTGCATCCCATTTTTAAAAGCTACTCTGCCCCTTAGGACCACTGTACTGATGAGATGTGTAGAGAAATAGAACACTAAACTAGGCCTGTAGATTAATGCTCGTTGACTTTATTTAGACTGTGGCTCTTAATCAATTAGGAGATTAATGATTACTGACCATAAGGCTCATTAAATGTATACTGTAGGCTTTCACAACCAACTAGTCCGTGCAGGTAAATCCGTGCCTATAGACAGAACAGAACGGTGAGGCGTGTACAGAGCGGTACACAGAGCTCAGAAACCTCACCAGGTGGCTGCTTGGTATGACGTCTGCCCAAACTCTAAAAATAGGAAAGGCATAAAGCTGCTTGGGTTTTCTCTCCTGTCACTCTTAACTGTTGTACTAAAACAAAGACAACGATCAGCTCAACAATTACACTGTAGTCATTTTCTCAATATTATTATAATTTTTTTTCTAAAAAGGCTCCATCACAAAATTCACAATTCATGACAAACCGGATTAAGCATCAACTGTAATAATGCTGAAATAATGAAAAACATTTAAAAATAACGGATGAAAATGTATTCCTTAACTAAGCAATATCTGTATAGTTGCATTGATAGAATCCAAGTACTTGCCTAAATGCTTACAGAAACAATATGGCATGTAACATTAAATCAATATCCCTTTGATTTGGTTACCTCTGTCAAATTACTACTTAGAAAATTACCATTTCTCAACCTGTATATTCACAACAAAGATTATGTTAATTAAAACTACTGTGGGGAACCTTCGTGCAACTTTAGGTTTCTTTTCAATGGAAGAAGTAATTCACCTTGTGAATGAATGTAACACCGTGAGTTCATGTTCTGGAAGATGTATTTGAGAACAAATTAATTTTTTGTGCTTCTGGTTCATTTCACCCTGGCTGTGCGAATATTGTAATTGAATAAAGCGTTTACCTGCTGCCTATTCGTCGGCCATGACACTCTTGAAAACGAGATGTGCCCATCTCAAGAGGGACTCCTGGTCAAATCATTTTTAGATAGAGACACAATCAATTGTGCAACATGTTATTTGTTTCAAATGCATGGTACTTTTTTTAAAAAGGACCAACCAGACAAGCACTTTCAGTCCATATATAAACGAGACATCCAGCACTGATCATGACATTGTATTTTCCCTTGTATGAGACAAACCCCCCTTTTTTTTTTAAAGTCCAAATGAACAGATGAATTCCATAACACTTCCTGATTCAGGAGAGGTGTTTTTTAAGAGCCAGCAGCCACCTCTTGTTTTGAAGTGGAATAGAATGTGACACATCTGTTGGCTGTTTCCAAAAGCCAATCTTATTCTCTAGTGAAAAGGGCAAATGTAAATCACGACCACCACAGAGGTCATAGGGCATACGTTTCAGATGGTAGTGTAGACAGAATCTACAGGCCAATGGAACTGATGTACAGTACTATAGCCAGTTGGTCAAAGCTATGAGAGGATTCATTCACATTTCCAGAAGAAGGTACATTCAGCGCTATGACAACATACCATTTTCGCCTAATAGGCACTGTGGACTATTAATTTGCTCTGATTGGTCTATCCCAACCATGTTTTATTGATTGATTGATTGACATGCCTGTCTCAATAGTATTGCAATGTTGAGTCAACACAAGGGGTGCAAAGCAATTCAATATCAACATGCCTGAGTCACACAGACAAACATACCAACTCAAAACTCAATAAACCAACGAAGAAGAAACAAACAAACATACCAACTCAACACTCAATAAACCAACGAAGAAGAAACAAACAAACATACCAACTCAAAACTCAATAAACCAACGAAGAAGAAACAAACAAACAAACAGGAAATAAATACAAACCACAGGCTTAATCCACGGTTGAGCCAACATTTGCACACTATCGTTCTGCAAATTCAACTTGTTTTTGTACAAATCTTCTCACAGTATCTGTTACATTTAAAAGACACTGGGTGCCTGTACACAAAAACTCCTATCATGTCGCCATTTTGGTAATAATTGTAGATAGTATGATAATGTGCCTGAGCAAAATTCAAGTTTGTTATAGACAGAATTCACAATAACTTTCTGCTATTATATATCAAATGTTTGGCCATGCAATTCAAACAAATGTCCCAGAGTTCCTGTTTAATACCCTCACCATACTTTATGCATATGATGATAAATATCCCCAAACACTCCACTATCCAATTCCTATATTCTTACGGTAATGGTCCATCACTCTTTAATGCTTTATACACTCATAGTTTCAAACTACCGGTAATTTGAATAAACATTTGAATATTTGTTGTTGTAATGTCATAACTGTAATGTTAACTTTAACTTGCCATAATGCATGTTTAGTAAGTAATCTTAAGATTCATACTTGATCTTATCTTTTACAGAGGGGGAGTTGGACGACTCCTTTCAATTATGTTTTTTTAATTACATTTTTTAAATCATATTTGAATTGAATGTTTGAATCAGCTAATGTTTCTTTTAAGTAATCTTCTTATGAGTTATTTTAAGTTATGTGTATCTCATAGGTTCAGACAAGGGTAGATGGGCCGTCTGCCTAAAATCATTCAAGAAAGTGAACATTTTAAAGCAGAAAAGGCTAGGGATTAAATGGGGGCAAAATAATGTGCACATTATGAAAGTAGGCCTCACATGGAGAAACAAACCATTCTAACATCCCTACCAAGCTCACTTCAAAATGAAGCCTCTCTATGCAGAAACTAAAAGTTAAGAGACCAAAAATGTGCTCTCTAAAAAATAATATTGCTGATTTCTAAAATGTTGCATATGACATCAGTTAACTTCGAACTTCTGTCAAAATGTGAGACCTGACAAAAAGGCACTTGTAATATAATAAATATAGCTTACCAAGCCACCTGCTGTATTCTGTCCTTTAATAAAGATAAAAGATAATAGACTTTCTATGGAAACATAATGGCCGTCTTAGGACAAAGAGTACATAGAGTACACAAAATATGAAAAGGTGCTTTCTCCAAAGGAATGCATTACTTATATGCATTACTAGTGCAATATTCTACAAGCATTAAATGCTATATGCTTTCTACTTCTTATGAGTGTGTGGCCATGATGAAATGTGAATTTTAAAGGCAACCTCTCCAGATAAATATCAGACGATATTTGTAGCGTTAAAGCAGTCAATTGAGGAGAAACAGTTACACCAGATTATATCAGATTATTTCCCAAATATTGATATAGTACAAATATAGTACATTATGAGCATAATTATTTAAAAGTTATTTAGGAAAAACAGCATTTAAAACAAAAAGATGCCCTGGTTGCATTACATACATGTGCCCCTTTTTTCAGTCGTTAAAATAATTATGTTTCTATCTGATTAATTGATTATCTTTCTTTATGACTTTAGTTAAATTGCCACTAATAACGGCAAAGTTTGTCTATGTTGCTCTAACAAATGAAAGGAACGTGGCTTGGCAGGAACCAGAGTGAGAGGTGAAGGAACTGGCTAGAGTAGCTAGGGTTGCAACATTTAGTAGATTCCACAAATTTCCAAGTTTTCCAGAAATCCAGGTTGGAGGATTCTCATATTTCCTGCTTATTCCCTGCTGATTCCAGGATTATCCCATCCGGGATTTCTGCAAAACCGGGGGAATTTTGGGAAAGTTGCCAGAATTGTGCAACCCTAACAGAAGCTAAGGGGAGTCATATCATGTCTACAAGCCTGATCAAGCCTGGTCAAGCCTGATCAAGCCTGGTCAAGCCTGGTCAAGCCTGATCAAGCCTGGTCAACCCTGGTCAAACCTGGTCAAGCCTGGTCAACCCTGGTCAAACCTGGTCAAGCCTGGTCAAGCCTGATCAAGCCTGGTCAACCCTGGTCAAACCTGGTCAAGCCTGGTCAACCTGGTCAAACCTGGTCAAGCCTGGTCAAACCTGGTCAAGCCTGGTCAAACCTGGTCAAGCCTGGTCAAACCTGGTCAAGCCTGGTCAAACCTGGTCAAACCTGGTCAAACCTGGTCAATTTGAAGGCCACTTGCTCCCTGCCCTCCCTCCCTGGTGTCACGTGCCCAGCTCAGGGCTCTGTTTGGGGGCCAGGCCAGTCTATGTCTGCTCTGGCTGGGCTGGTCCTTGGGACGGGGTGCTGCTCATACCCAGGTGTGCAGGTGAATGGATACGGAGGCACATGCAGATGAATTATAGC